CATATATATTTGTGTTAAATATTTTTTTTTTTTAATAGGAAATAGAAAATTATGGAAGTGAAATTTGACTTTTATTTTTAAATTATTTAAGGCTTGAATATTAGAGGACTGCATGAGTGCCAAATACTTAAAATACATTTGACCATTTATTAAAAATAAATACATTTAATTATGCCCTAAACCATATATATGTATATAGTCTTATTCTATTGACATCCCAACAGAAATTTATGAATTTCTACTTCAACACTAATAAACTTTCTATTCCTCAACTCAGCCCCAAATGCAAACTAACCTTCGGTATATCTGGTTCCCTTGAGAGCGCTAGAAACACGCGATCCATGATTTGATCCTGCACCAATTGGGCCTTCTCCTCGGCATAGAGATCCACGTCGCGATTGCGACAGCCAAAGAAGAGCCAGAGCTTTGGCAGCGACGTTGCGGTATCCACCTCGCGCAGCACCTGGAACTCCTGCCAGAAGGAGCGGAAGGGCGCAATGCCAGTGCCAGGTCCAATGAGCACCACTGGCCGACTGCGATCCGCCGGCAAATGGAAGCCCAAGGCGCTGCGCACGAACATATACAGCTCGTCGTTGGCTTTCAGGCCGGCCAAGTAGTTGGAGCAGACGCCATAGCGCTCGTCGCCTTGGCCATCCTCGCAGCGGTACCTGACAATGGCCACGGTCAGATGAATCTCATCGCTGACGCGACGTGGCGACGATGAGATCGAGTAGAAGCGCGGCTGCAGCGGCGTCAGATGAGCCAGCACTAGGGAAGCAGGCGGCCGACACGAAGGGAACTCCTCCAGCACATCCAGGAGGTGTGGCAGACGCCAATGACGCCAGTCCTCGTAGGCTGACGAATCGGTAACCAGCAGCTGCAGTCGCTCCGTGTCCGCATTGTCGTCGCAGAAGCCAGCGAGCAGCGTGAGCAGCTGCCTCGACGGCGGCGTGGTCAGATCGAAGAAGCGAGCCAGCAGATTGCGCAGCGTATCGGCGGGTATTTTGTCGTGCTGCTCCCAGCACTTGAAGATGCCGTTCGAGGTCTGCTTCTCCTTGAGCAGCTGCAGCTGCAGCACCTCGTCCGGATTGTCCACTCCCACCAGTCGCTGCAGCAGTCCGTCCACCAGCTCCGCGCGATTAGCCGGAAAGATGCCCACATGATCGCCCGGCTCGTACTCCAGCCCTGGCGCACAAATCTCCAAGAGCATCGTCGTCTTGGCGCCCTCGCTCAGCTTGGTCAGATTGTGCGGCTGCTCCTTGATCTTGCAGCAGTGCACCTTCTTGTTGTGGTACTTGGACAGCGCCACGTCCAGCGAGACCTTGCTGACCGACGGCACCAGGCGCACATTGTTCACGGTCAGCGATTCGTTTTGCAGCGCCAGCGAAGCATCCGACAGACTCTGATCCGGGTCCAAGCAAAAGGTCTCACAGGCTAGCTGCAGGTGAATGAGATGGATATTAAATTTATTTTATTTTATCAATTATTTAATCGTATTTTTTAATGTTTATTTAAATTTATTTGTTGACTAAATATTGTTATTTTATTAGTAAATTTCATTTACACAAAAAATGATTGAATTCAAGATTTACTTTAAAATTAATTTTAAATTTATTTTTTATAAATCTCGTAACTCTCTCAA